TTCAATCTGCATGCATCATGGATGAATTTGAGATCCTGGAAATCTCCATACTGTGCATATCATCATCGGATTGACGAGTTTGCTGATTTTCTAGTAGTCGTATGCACTTTTAACACTACGATTGTACGATTGACGTCATCCCAGTTTTTTAAAAATTTTTATTGTCTATGATGAGCCTTCTGGTTCAGCCACAATCTCTGTCATATAGATCAGTAGTCGTCAGAATGCATTCTTAGTACAGTGCCTTTCATTATGATGTAGCTTGCTACGGGAGACAGGCAGTAGGAGCGATTTTGTGTAATCGATTCGCCGCACGCGGCTGCCGCGGACCATTCGTTCACCATTATTACAGCTCTAGCGTTCTTAATACAGTTCATCCGAGAAGCGATCCTTATTTCAGGCATAATTCTACTGTTAGTTCCTTTAAATTTGTATTTCTTAGCTGCTGCCGCGTTCTGCTATATTCCTTCGCGCGCGGCGTTCCTCTCGGCGCGAGAATTTCGTTCCTACTGCACCACATGCGCTTGCTGCGAAATCTCTCTCGAGCGTTCTACGAGGTCGTTGGCAGAAGTGTTTGACGAAAACTGCGCAAAAGTCCCGATTTTTCTAGGGTAATCAGAAAGATTAGGTAAAATTACTATACAAGGACCCTGACCAAGCATATAGGCATGACATATTCGGACACCTCTTCCATGCCCATTCGACCATATAATGAGCGAACTGCCTACCCATCACGAACCCGACTTCTTCCCGAGTTCGAATCCGACCACTTCCCTGCTGATATCCATTGGAACGTGGGTCAGGCGTTTGGCAGTGAAGCCCCTTCTGAGCAGTTCTAAATACCTCCTTCGAACGCTTTGAACCTCGAGGCAAGGATGTCGGAGATGACCCTCGATCTGGTCTGGTCAACCTACAGCGATATTATGAAATCTTCTGATATGCTATGCTTGTACGGGTGAATATAGTCCTTTTGCAGTGTTTCTATGGGAATCTGGAACATTCCGGAAGAATTTTTTTCAAAAAATTTACATCCTACATTCCATTACCACGGAATTCGAGCG